CGTCATCATCGGAAAAATCGTCGGCAAATTTCTGATTGGCTGTTGAAAGTTTGGAAAATTACGAAGGTCAACTCAATGAAGAGAAAATGCCTTCGTGATTTTCCGAACATTCAACAGCCTTGTACTACTTGTTGTACTACCATGCACGTACTATTGTTGTGATGAAAAATTATAAATTATATCAATTCAATAAAATAAATTTCAATAAATTGCATCTAATACAAGTAATAGAACGAATTAAGTCGTGCAATTAATGCTAATTAAGACCATACTCGTGGTTAACTAATCCGCAACACGGTCAGTTGATATTGCGATCACTCGTATGATTTTAGCATTTATTGCACTCCTATTCTTTCTATTATAAATCGAGGTAGGGACGACTAATCAAGTACTAATCGGAGCAGCTAATCAACTTCGTTGTCGAAATCTGTAAGCTTGTAATAGATAACGATGAAGATGAACGACAAGAATGACGTGACAGCGAGGAATGGGATAGCAAATGGTTCCAATATGTCTATCTGCGGTACGCTCGTAGGAAGAGGTTTCAAAAGTGCGTCTGAGTTTGGTGTTTCACTTTGTTCTTTTGATATAATCCCGATTCCAAACGTAAAGCACAATGCCACCATGCCGACGTTTTCCGCGGTGATTAAAAGATAGCCCAAGATCATATCAGCTTTGCAAATTTGTTTTGGCGAGAAACTTGCCGGGAGTGGAAGATAGAGGGAAAACTGAACAAGATGGATGAAATAATGATTTTTGCTGTGTCATTAGATCCTGTAGACACAGTCCTGCCTTGTACGAGGAAATACATCAGGACGGTTTGAAGCGCCCAGTGAAAGCAAAGGAGAAGAATCACGTAGTATCGGAAGGCAAAACCGAACAATACAATTGCAGATAATCTTGAGACGAGCGTGAACATTTGCCAAAGAAAAAACGATACTTTTTCAGTTACATTTCGGCAATTCCATTCTGTGTTTTCACGTCTTGCGATCTCGACTCCAGTTATACTCCAGGACAAGGACAAGACTGACAGTATAATCGAGAGCAGAGTGTACCACGGGAAATACCATTGACGTAACATGACGTATGCTTGAAGACACCACTGTGGAGCGGACTCTGTGATCGTTTCCACATACCGCAACTTTGCGAACGCGAGGGGATTGCGATCCAAACCGAAAATGTTCTCGACGTATCGAACAACAATAGATAATTGTAGAACACTTGCCAGAAATGACCATACGTTCATCAGCTGTGCAACGGATATTACGTTTACCACAATTGAAGGAACAACGATACAAAATATCGTCATTCTAAACCACCAAGGGTGATCATCTTCCCAATATTTATACGCCACGTAAATATCTGAGGCTAAGTCAAATAGATACAAGACCAGCCCTACGACAGCAAGCAGTTTCTTTTTCATAACTTGATCCCAGCAAACAAAACTACAAAAATAGAAATGAATGTGAGTTATAGTGAGTGTGAATTAGTCAAACATTGCAGCGGAGTCTTTAATTCAGTTCGTTAATAAAAAAGAAGGTAGCATGTCGATCTTCATGTCGGAACTCAATATCTAAATGTCTCCTATGTGTAAATTAATTTAGTTTCTATATTTAGGACTAGTTTCCTTTTGACAAGTTTTCTTCTCCTCGTACCGTTGAATGTTTCTCGACGAAATGTTTCTCATAAAATTTTTCTGAAACGGATAGATAATTGGTGATTACGCTCTCACGTATTCACGAATTCATCACGTTCTCTTTTAAAGCGGAAAATTTCAAACTTTTAACGGAAGACATATCACCTTGCGGCCGACACAAAAGTTCGTCAACTGCATGGTAGTCTATCCTCAGCTATAGCCTATACAATAATTACTAATGTGATTCGTTAAACGTGCATTTAAAGCTGTAAAATGTCAACTCAAGCTATCCGGCGGAAACCGAACTAACCTAAAATTGAAGATCGATATAATTGAAATTAAACCGAATATAATAATACAACCATTAATACATAGCTTGCACCGTAATATACAAAATTTATTTGATATTAAATACGAAGGGGTTGTTAGTATGTTATATATTTTTAAAACCTTGCATGCTCAAACACACACTTGGACATGAGTAGTATACAGAGTGGCGGTTCTGGAGCGGGTGGTGCGGGTGGTGCACTTAGCACCACACATGACGTCATCGATTCCTAAATGTTTTAATTTATTCCGGCATTTTAATATATTTGAGCTTTGCCGTTCATTGCTATAGCAATTTTTCAGGGTATTTTACTACCATTTCTTTATTTACATGACTACATCGTTTAGTAATGTCTGGTTACTTAGTTATATTAAACGGTAGGCAATTTCCCGCCGTATGTTGTTCTTATCGTCGTTCGTATGCCTGTAGTGATTTAGCGGTCGTTTGTTTACATACGGCCGCGTTTTATTTCTAACTGCTCCTCTACCGCTTATACCGTCTGCTTATCTGCAATCGATGTTTTATAGATTTATATTTGCTTATATTCTGTTTAGAGTCCTTAGTTTAGAGTCCTTATATTCTGTTTAGAGATCTCATGCAGTTACATTAATTAATCATAATTTAACGCTCTGCCAGTTTTTACACAATGATTGTACAATAATTTATTATTCATATAAGTACGCGCGGGGGCGAGGAATGGGGTAAACAATGAAGCCTAATAGCGTAAATACGCAGGATATGTTTGTTTGACAGCAATTTACTTAAATTACACAAATGCCGGTTTACTTATCACACAACTGAGAATTTGCGAAGAGTATATTTTATTTCACTACGATTACACATTTGTATGTCAATATTTAGTACCATTAGACTAATGTTCATTTTAAACAATTGTTATTTCGTTTTCTATGTATGCTTTGTGATACAGTTCAGCTCATACGTTAACCCTGATTTAATTGTCCTCATATATCATAATGTCAATATGCCGTTGACATACGAATCATTTCCATACATCAATTTTCGTGTTATCGAGTTACTCAAAGTGTACTTGCGTGGAATATGAGGTGGAATATCGGTTACAAATTTTGTGCGATGAGCAGATGTGTACCTGCTCGTAACTGCTCCTCTGCTCAATGAGATATTTCATACCCACTTGAAATTTTTGTTGATAAAATGAAAATTTACATATGAACTAGCGGCCGGAAAGAAAATTTCAGACATGGTTTAACGATTTTAACATTTATTTGTCTTGCAATTAGTTACAGCAATAAATAATAATTTTCCCTAAAACGTTTTCTAATTTTTTTTTTCGCTCGTTTGCCATATATGGTTTCCTTAAGAAAGGTTAGGTAAACCTTTGCTATTGGATTAAATTTAAAGTCTAATTATCATCATCGTCATAATCTTCACTGTCTTTATTTTCCTCGTCATCTTTAATCTCGTGGTCGCTTAAAAGCCTTTTAATAAGAAACTTTCTCTTATCAACTGCAGCTTCTATTGCTTCTTCTGGGTCAAAATCATCATTTTGAATAAACGATTCCTTTGTGTGCATTATTTTCCTATGTACTAGATCTTTCTTTAGTTGTCTTATCCACAAAAGGCGCTCTAAATAGATATTTTCTAATTCTTTCTGGAGTCTAGGCATAATATTCAAGTAGGCTTTTTCTTTAGCAGATTGCTCGTCGAAACCTTTGTCGCTTGTGAGGCGTTCTTTCATTTCCTCGAAAGCTGTGTTACTTCTTTGTTTTGCTTCTTCTATTAGTGGTATCCAGGGATCCATTTCTTCTCCAGATTCTGAGTCAGTCGTCGTCGAACCTCCTGACTGCTGAGTAGAAGTTGTTGAGACATCGTCACGGAAATCTCTTTCTTGACTGTCCGAGTCTGTGGCAAGAGTGTCTTGTTTCATCAAAAACCAAAAAAAAAAAACCTGATTGTTGGGCTACCTATGCAAGAATAGACAAGAGTGAGCACGTTTAATAAGTATCTATCTCAAAGGATAATGCGCATGCGTATTACGTGTTTTGTTATGTCCCACAATCAAACGGTAAACGTTTTGTATTTATATTTCGTGGTTCGTGCAGAAACTGATCAACTGATAACTTTAAATTTTCATCCGCTGCGAAACGAAATCGTTTGTGTCATATCAGTAAATTCAGTTCTGTAAGGAATTGGTATATTATCGACGGTTAACCGAAGAGGCTTAGGTAAGACGTCAATTAAATTTATCACTTCCAAATTCCAAGTAGTTGCTGTGCCCTTGTTGGCTGCACCAATGAAGAAAGAATCTGAGGTGCCCCTTGGGAAATGTCTAGCAACGAACGGGTTCAATTGTTTATTTATGTGCGAAGACTTCTTAGTAGTTGCTGTGCCCTTGTTGGCTGCACCAATGAAGAAAGAATCTGAGGTGCCCCTTGGGAAATGTCTAGCAACGAACGGGTTCAATTGTTAATTTATGTGCGAAGACTTCTTAGTAGTTGCTGTGCCCTTGTTGGCTACACCAATGAAGAAAGAATCTGAGGTGTCTCCTGGGAAATGTCTAGCAACGAAAGGGTTCAATTGTTAATTAATGTGCGAAGACTTCTTAGTAGTTGCTGTGCCCTTGTTGGCTGCACCGATGAAGAAAGAATCTGAGGTGCCCCCTGGGAAATGTCTAGCAACGAACGGTTTATTTTAGTTGTGAAGTTTATTTAAGGCTGTTTGGTCAGAAAAACTAACAGACTTATCTGTTTTAGAATGGATAACACTTGCAGGACTTGTTTAAAACAGTTCACACAGCTGCGAAGTTTGCGTCGTCATGAACGGTGTATTCATGGTGAAAGAAGGTTTTGTTGTGATCATTGTGGCGAGTCTTTCACACGAAAAGATGCTTTGAGGCGGCATCAGAAGCGTCATCAAAAAATGATTACACACACTTGCAACAACTGCATGAAAGATTTCCACCGTCGAGATAAATTAGTAGAACATCAAGTTCATTGTCAAAGGAATCCACTGAAGAGAAAGCGTAATGAAGGCGATAATAGTCCGGCTCCAAAGAAAATGGGAGTTCAAATTGGAGAAGGTAAACCCGATGATCAAGTCGAAGAAGATAACCCTTGCAGTTCTACTTCGGCGTTTGACGATTCTTTGAAGAAGATTGAGTTGAAACCGCGGAAAGATCAGAAACAGGACGTGTCCCACTTCTTACGCGGCAAGACAAAATCCATTTTGAGTCACCTTTCCAACGAATTAGCAGAGAAAAGAGGCATCAAATGGTTCATCAGTGTTAAAGTACGATTCGTCAAACCTAAACCCAATGGCGAGAGTCTGACTACCGAATCCCACTTCCGCAGTCTCTGCATGAAAACAGTAGACCAGCACGAACTGCATAATCAACTAGAGGAGGTCAAGCAGAAAATTACCCAGTCACTAGTTTTATTTCAAAGAGAAGGAAGTGGTTGGGTATTAGACGAAATCCTTCATCTTGACCTGAGTATAGCTCAGTATACTCCAGTAAAAGGATCCAGCTACATCCCTCTTCCCAGCAAGATAAACGCCAAGAAAGCAGTAATCAACATCAAGAATTCTGATAACAAATGCTTCATGTGGTCTGTCCTCGCCGCTCTTCATCCAGTAAAACAGAGTGCAGAGAGATTGCATCATTATCAACAGTTTCAAGATGAACTAGATTTTGCTGGTATTGAGTTTCCTGTTACTATTGACAAGATTGGAAAATTTGAGCATCAGAACAATATTTCCATTAACGTGTTTGGCTTCGAAGACGTGCTTTTTCCATTGTATATCACAAAAGAACACTTTAATACCCATGTGAATCTGTTGTTATACTCCCAGGGAGAGACTAGACATTACTGTTTTATAAAAGATCTGAATAAATTCCTCTACAGTCAAAACCGTCACGAATCTCGCATGTTCTTTTGCCGGTATTGTCTACATGGATTTATCCGAGAGGACCTACTCCAAGATCATGAACCACACTGTTGCCAACACGGTCCACAGCGTATTGAACTCCCTAATCAAGATAATGCTCAACTGTTCTTTAAAGACTACCACAAGCAATTGAAAGTGCCCTTTGCAATCTACGCCGACTTCGAAAGTCTTACCACCAAGATCAACTCAGTTAATCCTAATCCTGAAAAATCCTCCACTGAAAAATACCAACACCACCAACCTTGTGGATTTTCCTACATTGTTATATCCGACCATGCGAAGTACTCCAAATCACCCGTCGTGTATCGCGGAGAAGATGCAGTCGACGAATTTTTGAAGTGTTTAGAAGAAGAGCAGAAATATATTCAAGAGAAGCTGGATTGGGTCGAGCCCATGCGAATTGAGAGAGAAGAAGAGCAAGCGTTTCAAGATGCAGTCCATTGTCATATTTGTGAATATGAATTGGGTTCTGACCGTGTTCGTGACCATTGTCATCTTTCTGGAAAGTACCGCGGAGCTGCACACAACGATTGCAATTTGAACTATAGTTTTAATGGTCAAGTACCCGTTATTCTTCACAATCTACGCGGTTATGACTCTCATCTCATCATGCAAGGACTTGGTAAACTCAAAGACAAGAAGATCAACTGCATTCCAAACAACACCGAAAAGTACATCTCCTTCTCCATCGATAATCTGGATTTTATCGACTCCCTACAATTTATGAATGCATCGCTGGAGAAGTTAGTATCCAATCTAGCAAAGGATGGTGTTGACAAGTTCCCCACTCTAAAGAAATACATCGACAGCGATAAAACACCCCTTTTGCTGAGAAAAGGCGTCTACCCCTACGACTACATGGATTGTACAGAAAGATTTGAAGAACCAACTTTACCACCGAAGGAATCCTTCTACAACGTGTTGAACGACGAACATATTTCAGACGAAGATTACGCACACGCGACGAATGTATTTAACAAGTTTTCCTGTCGGAACATGGGTGATTACCATGATTTGTACTTGACGTCGGACGTTCTTCTCCTTGCAGATGTGTTTGAAAATTTTCGAAGCGTGTGCCTCAAAGCCTACAACTTGGATCCCTGCCATTTCTACACAAGTCCTGGTCTAGCCTGGCAGGCGTGTTTGAAAATGACTGAAGTCGAACTCGAGCTTCTAACTGATCCAGACATGTACTTATTCATCGAAGAAGGTCTTCGCGGGGGAATTTCAATGATTAGCAACCGCTATGGTAAAGCCAACAATCCATACGTTCCCGATTATGACCCAGAACAAGAGACCTCCTACGTTATGTATCTTGATGCTAACAACCTCTATGGCTGGGCTATGTCGCAACCTCTACCCACAGGTGAATTTGACTGGCTAACCGACCAAGAGATTGCAGAACTTGACATCATAGACGTTGCGGACGATGACGATGAAGGCTACATATTGGAAGTAGACCTACACTACCCCTCCGAACTACACGATCTTCACAACGATTATCCTCTAGCACCTGAGAAAATGAAGATTTCTTCAGAGATGTTGTCACCGTACTGCCAAGACCTGTCGGAATGTTTGCAACTTCGTGGTGGGGTTGTGTCTAAATTGGTGCCGAATCTCCGGAACAAGACCAATTATGTAGTCCATTACCGCAATTTAAAGCAATACCTGGCACTTGGCATGAAGTTGGCAAAGATCCACCGCGTTTTGGTATTCCAACAAAGCCCATGGTTAAAGACCTACATCGATTTCAACACCGAGAAACGAAAACATGCAGCAAACGACTTCGAGAAAGATTTCTACAAGTTGATGAATAACTCGGTGTTCGGAAAAACCATGGAAAATTTGAGAAAGCGCGTCAACGTCAAGCTCGTCAACGATAAGACGAAACTATCGAAACTAACAGCATCTCCATCCTTTGACTACTTCCGCATATTCTCTGAAGATTTAGCAGCTGTCAACATGAAGAAGACGAAGCTTTACCTAAACCGTCCAATCTACGTCGGATTCACCATCCTGGATCTCTCCAAAGTACTCATGTATCAGTTTCATTACGAGTACATGAAACCCAAGTATGAGTACAACGCAAAGTTGTTGTTCACAGACACAGATAGCCTTTGTTACGAGATAAAGACCGACGACGTTTATCAAGACATGTTGCAAGACATCGATCTCTTTGACACATCCGAATACGCACGAGACCATCCACTGCACAGCCTGACGAACAAGAAAGTCCTTGGCAAAATGAAAGATGAAACGCATGGCATACCCATCCAAGAGTTTGTGGGGTTGCGACCGAAGATGTACTCCATTCTCTATACCGAAAACGACAAGCAAGTGGAGAAGAAAACGGCTAAAGGAATAAAGAAGTCCGTCACCAAACGAAAGCTTCGGCACATCAACTACAAGGAATGTTTGTTTGATAAGAAACGGACAATGGCCAGCATGAATCAGATTCGAAGTGAACGCCATGAAATCTACTCCATTAAATTAAACAAGATTGGTCTTAGCCCTTATGACGACAAACGCTATATTTTAAAGGATGGAGTGAACACTCTTGCTTATGGACATTACCAAATCATAAGCACAGACGAGTGAAATATCAAGTTTTATTGTTGTTGAACAATACATAAGTTACGTTTTAAAGTTATAAATTATTGCAATTGCATGAAATACAAAGTTATGTTACAATGTTACGTGTTTATAAAGTTGAAGTTACATGTTTATTTATATCAAGAGGAGGTTTTTTTTTCATGCTTGGAAAATGCTCAAACCTTATAAAATCATAATACTGTACGCATGCGTGAATGCATTAAGGTGTGTTTTGAGAGTTCGGTGTTGAGTGTGGGGTTTACATAGAAACAAACTCTCCTCTTAAGTTACGTTTTAAAGTTATAAATTGTTCTGAAAGTTAATAAATTGTTCTCAAAGTTAATAAATATTTGAAAGGAATCCTTTGATTATTCTCAGTCTTCAGTTTGTGGTATATTGATCCAGATTCTACCACATCTATTTAGTCTAAAAATGCAGCCATTTTGCTGGGATATTGTTTGGATTGTCTTTTGTATGTTCAACACTGTCGTTTTTCCTCTTTAGAACTCTGGGCTTGCTGTTTTCCTTGCTTATCTTTCTGGTGCTTAATAATTCATTCACCCCGTCTTGCTGTTGTTTGTTCTCATGTCTGTTCTCATCATCAAGAGTGTTCTGCTCATCTCCCTTTCGGCTTTAGTTTGGCTTCTTGTAGGTACTTCCTTCTTTGGTCAATATCGAGCAGATGCACATCCGCAAGATGATTTGCCAATCTTACAAGGTATTTTGCACCGCAATTGGGAACGGTACAACAACCACAAGTTGAGATATCATCATTGCATCATAATGGAAAATTTATCTCAGCCAAACCTTCAATGTCTCACTATGGAAAAAGTCGAACACTTATGCATGTATTTCGATGAGGCGTTGTCAAAAATCTCAGAGACAAAGGTCACGGAGGTTTTTATCGAAACCCTAACGGAAATTAACCCCTGCATGTGTAGACAGTCCGGAGCTGCTCAAATATACACGTGCTGAATGGAGATGTAATTTTTGTACAGATCGAAGACGGATGCTAAAAGAAGAAACTTTTAGGTTTTTGTAAGAAGTGCTGTGATCGCGAAAATCATATGTATAAAATAACATGATTTTAAACTGTATCCTTACTTTGCAATATGCCAGCCAAGTGTGCACAGAAAACGATATCTCCTAAAGCATCTTCAAAGAAAGAGGTTTTACGTTCAAAATCAACTATGGTAAATGATCTACGTAAAAGGACTATTAAAAAGAAGAAAAATGTTAAAGATCAGAAAAAAGCCAAACTGCACAAGATCAAGAAACTCAAGCTCAAGCGAACGACTACACTACGATACACAAACAACTGAATTGTGATGATCCGAAAAGCAGGGGTAACGTTTAAGTGTAAAAGAATCGAGAAAAAAAAAACATTCTCATAACAAGATAGTAAATCTGCCAGACAAGCCTTTATGCCTCAGCATAAATTTAAACGCCGGAATAAAACCAACTTACTGAACAAGATATTGGGAATCAAGCAAACAGCCAAGCCTTCAATGACAATCAAACGATCCAAAACTGTGATGAAGACAGTGGGAAAGATATGTAAAAGAATCGAGAAAGAACTGTTCATACTAGGTTATGGGATTGGGAGGAGCTGTATCTCCTATTTTGGCCTTTTTGGCCTTTTTGGCCTGACTTTGGCCCGATTGGCCTGTACTTTGGCCCGATTGGCCCTAATAAAAGTCAGTAATCAGAGGAAACAGCTCATTTGCACCCTGTTCTTCAAACCGCAGACATGGCAAAGCGCGTTTGTCGTGATTGTACCGTTCCCAATTGCGGTGCAAAATACCTTGTAAGATTGGCAAATCATCTTGCGGATGTGCATCTGCTCGATATTGACCAAAGAAGGAAGTACCTACAAGAAGCCAAACTAAAGCCGAAAGGGAAAGTGTGTGGTATACAACAGAGCAAATGAGAACACTCTTGATGATGAGAACAGACATGAGAACAAACAACAGCAAGACGGGGTGAATGAATTATTAAGCACCAGAAAGATAAGCAAGGAAAACAGCAAGCCCAGAGTTCTAAAGAGGAAAAACGACAGTGTTGAACATACAAAAGACAATCCAAACAATATCCCAGCAAAATGGCTGCATTTTTAGACTAAATAGATGTGGTAGAATCTGGATCAATATACACAAACTGAAGACTGAGAATAATCAAAGGATTCCTTTCAAATATTTATTAACTTTGAGAACAATTTATTAACTTTCAGAACAATTTATAACTTTAAAACGTAACTTAAGAGGAGAGTTTGTTTCTATGTAACCCCACACTCAACACCGAACTCTCAAAACACATCTTAATGCATTCACGCATGCGTACAGTATTATGATTTTATAAGGTTTGAGCATTTTCCAAGCATGAAAAAAAAACTCCTCTTGATATAAATAAACATGTAACTTCAACTTTATAAACACGTAACATTGTAACATAACTTTGTATTTCATGCAATTGCAATAATTTATAACTTTAAAACGTAACTTATGTATTGTTCAACAACAATAAAACTTGATATTTCACTCGTCTGTGCTTATGATTGGTAATGTCCATAAGCAAGAGTGTTCACTCCATCCTTTAAATATAGCGTTTGTCGTCATAAGGGCTAAGACCAATCTTGTTTAATTTAATGGAGTAGATTTCATGGCGTTCACTTCGAATCTGATTCATGCTGGCCATTGTCCGTTTCTTATCAAACAAACATTCCTTGTAGTTGATGTGCCGAAGCTTTCGTTTGGTGACGGACTTCTTTATTCCTTTAGCCGTTTTCTTCTCCACTTGCTTGTCGTTTTCGGTATAGAGAATGGAGTACATCTTCGGTCGCAACCCACAAACTCTTGGATGGGTATGCCATGCGTTTCATCTTTCATTTTGCCAAGGACTTTCTTGTTCGTCAGGCTGTGCAGTGGATGGTCTCGTGCGTATTCGGATGTGTCAAAGAGATCGATGTCTTGCAACATGTCTTGATAAACGTCGTCGGTCTTTATCTCGTAACAAAGGCTATCTGTGTTGTGAACAACAACTTTGCGTTGTACTCATACTTGGGTTTCATGTACTCGTAATGAAACTGATACATGAGTACTTTGGAGAGATCCAGGATGGTGAATCCGACGTAGATTGGACGGTTTAGGTAAAGCTTCGTCTTCTTCATGTTGACAGCTGCTAAATCTTCAGAGAATATGCGGAAGTAGTCAAAGGATGGAGATGCTGTTAGTTTCGATAGTTTCGTCTTATCGTTGACGAGCTTGACGTTGACGCGCTTTCTCAAATTTTCCATGGTTTTCCGAACACCGAGTTATTCATCAACTTGTAGAAATCTTTCTCGAAGTCGTTTGCTGCATGTTTTCGTTTCTCGGTGTTGAAATCGATGTAGGTCTTTAACCATGGGCTTTGGGAATTACCAAAACGCGGGTGGATCTTTGCCAACTTCATGCCAAGTGCCAGGTATTGCTTTAAATTGCGGTAATGGACTACATAATTGGTCTTGTTCCGGAGATTCGGCACCAATTTAGACACAACCCCACCACGAAGTTGCAAAACATTCCGACAGTCTGGCAGTACGTGACAACATCTCTGAAGAAATCTTCATTTTCTCAGGTGCTAGAGGATAATCGTTGTGAAGATCGTGTAGTTCGGAGGGGTAGTGTAGGTCTACTTCCAATATGTAGCCTTCATCGTCATCGTCCGCAACGTCTATGATGTCAGTTCTGCAATCTCTTGGTCGGTTAGCCAGTCAAATTCACCTGTGGGTAGAGGTTGCGACATAGCCCAGCCATAGAGGTTGTTAGCATCAAGATACATAACGTAGGAGGTCTCTTGTTCTGGGTCATAATCGGGAACGTATGGATTGTTGGCTTTACCATAGCGGTTGCTAATCATTGAAATTCCCCCGCGAAGACCTTCTTCGATGAATAAGTACATGTCTGGATCAGTTAGAAGCTCGAGTTCGACTTCAGTCATTTTCAAACACGCCTGCCAGGCTAGACCAGGACTTGTGTAGAAATGGCAGGGATCCAAGTTGTAGGCTTTGAGGCACACGCTTCGAAAATTTCAAACACATCTGCAAGGAGAAGAACGTCCGACGTCAAGTACAAATCATGGTAATCACCCATGTTCCGACAGGAAAACTTGTTAAATACATTCGTCGCGTGGTGCGTAATCTTCGTCTGAAATATGTTCGTCGTTCAACACGTTGTAGAAGGATTCCTTCGGTGGTAAAGTTGGTTCTTCAAATCCTTTCGTACAATCCATGTAGTCGTAGGGGTAGATCGCCTTTTCTCAGCAAAAGGGGTGTTTTATCGCTGTCGATGTATTCTTTAGAGTGGGGAACTTGTCAACACCATCCTTTGCTAGATTGGATACTAACTTCTCCAGCGATGCATTCATAAATTGTAGGGAGTCGATAAAATCCAGATTATCGATGGAGAAGGAGAGTGTACTTTTCGGTGTTGTTTGGAATGCAGTTGATCTTCTTGTCTTTGAGTTTACCAAGTCCTTGCATGATGAGATGAGAGTCATAACCGCGTAGATTGTGAAGAATAACGGGTACTTGACCATTAAAACTATAGTTCAAATTGCATCGTTGTGCAGCTCCGCGGTACTTTCCAGAAAGATGACAATGGTCACGAACACGGTCAGAACCCAATTCATATTCACAAATATGACAATGGACTGCATCTTGAAACGCTTGCTCTTCTTCTCTCTCAATTCGCATGGGCTCGACCAATCCAGCTTTCTTGAATATATTTCTGCTCTTCTTCTAAACACTTCAAAAATTCGTCGACTGCATCTTCTCCGCGATACACGACGGGTGATTTGGAGTACTTCGCATGGTCGGATATAACAATGTAGGAAAATCCACAAGGTTGGTGGTGTTGGTATTTTTCAGTGGAGGATTTTTCAGGATTAGGATTAACTGAGTTGATCTTGGTGGTAAGACTTTCGAAGTCGGCGTAGATTGCAAAGGGCACTTTCAATTGCTTGTGGTAGTC